AGCCCTCAGGTGAGGATGAGGTTGGTCTACCCAAGAAATGGCAATAGCCCCACAGAGTCCATGGTGTGGGGCCCTGTGGCGTGAGCAAGAGGGTGAGGAGCAGGAGGTTATGCCAGAGAGCCTCAGGAGCCGGTTACAGAGACCAAGCCATCGGCATCGTCGCCCCTGATCACCTGTTCCTGTCTCTTATGCAAATGTATCAGCAATTCCTCTTTGTCCTGACCTCCAAGTATATCCCCAATTCTACTGTCCACCGACTTCATCAATATCCATTGGAGCATGCAATGACACACCTACCTCCCACCTGGGCCATTGTGACCATGCCCAGCAAGTTTTGCTGGGTCTGTTCCTGCTCCCTCTAGCCTGTTCTGCATACAGCACCCAGAGCTTGGAACACAGCACCCTCCAAGAAATATCACAACCACATCCAAAATACGAGATAAATCACAATGGTGGTTATAAGTAGTCTTATACTCGGGTACAAATATTTTTAGGGTCTTCTCAGCAAATAACAGAAGCTAAATAGGAGACCTTGATGTGAGCACAGAACTAGAGGCAGAGCCCAGAGGCGCACAACTTTTCGGCTGTGAGGACCCTTCACCAGCTGGCTGTGAGTTGTCGAGGTGCCTTTGGGCGACCTGCTCCAAGGTTCTCCTCCACTTCCTGCAGGCAGCTCTTGCTTTGTGCAACTGGATGCCCACACAGACAGGAAGTGCTCCCTCACTTTGCTGGCTCTGTGGTGACTGACGTCTGCTCCTTTTGCCATACATCTGAGCCCTTGAGAGCCGTTTAAGAAAATACCTTATTCTGGGGAATTATAAACAACAGAGATTCATTGCTCATAGTTGGAGGCCTGGGAAGTCCTGGACTAAGACAACAACAGATTTGGTGGCTGAGGAGGGCTGCTGGCCTGCTTCAAAGAGGCACGTTCCTGCAGTGTCCTCACGCGGTGGCTCTCTGAAGCCTCTTCTATAAGGTCACAGATCCTGTTCATAAGAATGAAGGCCTGTGGCTTCATTGCTTCCCAGAGACCCCACCTCGTAACACTGTCATACCAGCTGTCAGGTGACAGCCCACCGATTCCAGGGCACCAACATTCAGAACATTGCAGCCCAGGATCCTGCAAAGTGAGGGAGTGGTGGGCTTTTATCTACACAGCACCATCCAAAATGAGGCCTGCTATAGCACTAAATCGAGCCTTCCCCTTTTTGCTTTGAACTTGAACTTCGCTGGTGTCTACTACTCTGACGTTTGTCTTCAGATGCTCTTTGGAGGGCACAAATCACAGTGGCTGTGAGCTCATATTCTGGGGTCACAGAGAATATTGCGTTCAAAGGCCAAGCATATCCCTCCTTAGCTTTGTGACCTTCAGCACATTCCTAACCTCCCTAAACTTGTATTTCCTTATCTGAAGAAGGGAGATAACCCTACCTCACAGCTCATGATGGATGTGAAGTTGAAAGAGATAATGAACTTAGTCATAAGAGATGGCATACAAAGTCTCACTATGTGTTAGAAACCACTCCCTTTACTACTCTTGATTTTATTATTAATATAGAGCTCAGCCCTTCACTGAAGTGTTTCATCAAGTTCAGCGCCATTCTTACACTTCTACAAAGTCCAACAGAAAATCAGGTTGACTTCAGGAACAGTGTGAACTTGGTGTTTTTGGTGAGCCTTGGTAACGCTCACGAAGGACGCCAGCTGCTCAGGCCTGTCATGGTTTGGTAAAATTTGGCAGGGTCAGCAGTCACCTCTACATGAGTCAAAGGTTGAGCTGCTGGCTCAAGAGGAGCATCTAAGTTCAACTCCAATGCAAAATCAAGTCGAATCCAAAGTCAAAGAATGAGTGAGGGTTCAGGTATTCATATCAACAGGTGTTAAGATATTATTTGGAACATGGTGGAGGGTAAGAAAGGAGATTTCGGATCCATTTCAGAATTCTACTTCTTATAAGTCACCTAGGCAATGACTAATAAACTTTAAAGATTGATTCATTAAAGATTTCTGAGTGGCTACTAGGTATCAAATAGGAGGCTCAGTTATGGTAAAATAGCTGTGAACAAGAACTGAGCCCCTGCTTCCATGATGTAAAAAAATTATGCCAACAGCCAGACTGAGCATGTAGCCCTCATGGCCCATCTTGGTGCTTTAACTTGCTATTAGTTTTCAGAAATTGCTAGAAATCTGAAGGATTTCCATCTCTGTATTCAAATGCATTGCATTACTAGTAGGCAAGTACCTACACCTCATTAATCAGAAATTTCTAGTTATGGAATGATAAATAAAAATGCATTACTTATTGAGACAAATGTGTTTCCCCAAGCCTTCATCTAGAACTGAATTACCCACACATGGTTTGAGCAGTAATAACCCCGGTCACAGTCATTTTTCTCAATTGACTTTCTGAGTGCTAACACAAGATCCATGGAAACTGTTTGTATTTCAAGATAAACACTTATTAAGGAATGATCCCCAAAGCCATTTGAACACTGGTATGGAAATTGATACATTCCCCAAGCTTTGCTTCGAAGACAGATGAAATTCCTTCTGAAGTGGGTAAGTCGGTGGCTCTTTGCCCATCACATCTTGTATTGTAATACAAGTAACTCAGGTGTTCCTGTGGTTCACAATTTGGTCAGCCTCATCGGGCCCAGAAAACAAATTCCGTTGCTAATCCCCAGCACAGATTTTAATCTCCAACATTAATATCTCATTCCCAAATATCTCCACGGCGATGACTACCAGTGTAGGTAGGTCTCCAGGGAGACAATATATGTTTGGGGGATGGATTCTTGCTCCTTTTAAGATTCCCAGGTCAGTGGGTAGAATCTATACACAACACTTGAAATGTTGTAATATACTTCAATGGTATCTCAACAGAGAAAAATCCTAGTCACAGAGAGATCTAGAACATCGTTCTCAGCCAGAGGTGATATCACCCATACTCCAGGAGACATTCGGCAAAGTCTGGTGACATCTTTGGTTGTGACAGCTGAGAGAGGGTACCATTGACATCTAGTGGATAGAGGCCAGGGAGGCTACTAAATTGTACCATGCACAGGAAAGCTCCCCTCAGCAAAGAATTATCTGGCCCTAAATATCATTGGTACTAAGTTTGAGAAACCTTGATGTACAGGAAGTGCTTTGTGAAGACCAGTCTCTAACTTGAATAATTTTGTTTTAAAAGTTCCTATGAAACCAACTAATATACCATTTTCAAGACATTGGGCTCTATAATCAAAATCCTAGATCCATGTCTGAGCTCCTTTTTAACCAACAGATGACTTTTATTCTAGTTTCTTAACTTACCCACATCTATTTTTTTAATTGTAATCCTGGGGTTGGTAACAGTATCAACTTAGAGTGCTTCCTGAGTTCTTAGGGAATGGCTATTGCTCCTGAGAGTATTGTCAGCTTCTCCATGGGGAGAGTGAGCCATGGTAGAGGTCTTCAAGGGTTCTCAGCAGGTGTTCCAGCCCTGACTTGTCCCCTCCTGCACTGAGCAGGGTAGACCTGTGTGATAAACCGGATATTGTGGAAGTGACAATGTGGCTTTAAAGCTGTGTCCTAAGAGAAAATGTGACTTCTGTCTTGCTCTTGCTTGGCTTACCTGCTCCCCAGTCTGTGATTGTATGCAAGCAGCCCATGGACAGGTCCATGTGGCATGGAGCCTGGGCTCCCCACCAAGGCCAGCAACGTGCCTGCCACCAAGTAAGCCATCTTGGAAGGACATGATCCAGCCTCAGGCTTTCAGGTGGTTGTAGCTCTAACCAACACCTGGGTGGCAACCCATAGGAGACTCCTACCAGATCCCCTCAGCCTGGTCACACTGAAATTCCTGGCCCCCAGAAGTTAGGTAAGGCAATCTCTTCTAAGTCATTCTGTTTTTAAATTTCTTGTGCAACAACAGTAGCTATATAAGTACTTCCATTGTTTCTACCCCAACTGGCATCATTTTGTCTCCTAATCTCCCAAGCAGGCAAAGAAGAATGGGGAGCCAGGCACAGTGGCAAACACCTGTAATCCCAGTGGCTTGGGAGGCTGAGGTAGGAGGATCGTGGATTCAAAGCCAGCCTCAGCAACAGCGAGGCACTAAGCAACTCTGTGAGACCCTTTTTCTAAATAAAATACACAATAGGGCTGGGGATGTGGCTCAGTGGTCAAGTGCCCCTGAGGTCAATCCCTGGCACCCCTCCCTCCAAAAAAGAATGATGAAGACCATCCTGTTTTATCTGGGAAGAATCGAGGACCTGGAGAAAAGGCCTCCTGCTCTGACAATGGTTCGGAGCCTTTTGACCCAGGACAGACTGAGAGCATCCACCCAGGAAGACTTGGATCTGAAGCCCAGCTCTAGCAATTTCTAGCCAAGTAACATCTCCAAGCATTGGTTTATTAAGTCTGGGAATAACAACAGCCCCTGTCTGATAAGGTTGCTCCAGGAATTATAAGAAATAACCATGGATGGTGCTCGGCACAGGGAGTGGCTGGGGGTGGGTGATCTACAAACGTTTACTGAGTAAATACATGTTATTGTTATAGGAGTGAGGTTTTCTTCAAATCAAATAATTCACTGTTGTTGTTAACACTTATTATTAATTGTGCAACAAGGTTAATTTGACGGTGGCATTTCTGCACATGCATAGATCACGCCTTGTCTGGCCCACCACCCTCCTCAGTCTTCCTGTCTCCCCCACTTCCCTCCCGGTCACTAATAGTCCCTCTTCTATTTCAGGTCTTCTCCTTCTCCTCCTTCCCCGATCCCTCCTCCTCTTCCTTTGTGTGTCTGGCTTATTACACTTCTTAACAAGATGTCTTCCTGGTCCATCTATTTTTCTGAAAATGACAGGGTTTCCATCTTCTTTATGAATGAATAATACTCCATTTTATGTACATGTACATATATGCATATGTATATCCATATATGTATTTATAAAAATTTCCTTTATCCACTCATCAAATAATTCTATTTTTCTAATCCACATCTTTGCCATTCAAAGGTTTGGAAATGAACCTCAAAACCTGTGACTAATGATCTTCACGCATTTTGCTGAAGTTGGAATTGGAATCGGGTAAGTTACCAGGTGGGCTTGGGTGAAAGTCACTGAGCTCCCAGCTTCCTTCTCCAGGGCTCTTCTGCAGCTTTTGTGGCTTCCCAGAGCTGGGGCATGGGAAGGTGAGTGAAGCACTCATTCTGGGTGAAAAATTGAAGGGGTGCCCGACCATGCAAAATCAAGATGAGTAGGCAATATGTAAGAAATCTAAATCGGCAAATTGCAGACCACAGACAGGGCACTTGTCTACTCATGGAAGTAAATTCAGTAGCTCTTCAAACATTTTAAAAGGATTGCTTAAAAAGTTTTATGTTGTCATTATTCACAGGGGCAATTAGTGCACGGCAGTGACATTCACAAGTGTGAGCTGTTGTTGTGAGGTTAGTGGTATTGGTGCCTCAAGAAGGGCTGGCATGAATCTGGAAGCTGTGGTAACTTGCTAGGGACAGTATGGTGTGAACAGCTGTGGCTGAGAGTGCAGGAGGGTGGCTCACACACCCCTTCTCATCCCAAGGCTCCTGCTCCTGCCTCACTGGCCCAATTTGCACCCCAAGTTTTGGAACTAAAAATATGTCCTTGATATTAATGATCTTTGGAAAACAAGATTTCAACTCCTATTTTCAAGTTCAAGGCTATGAATATGGCTGGGCACAAATGCCGCAGTCTGGCTGGGCACACAATCACAAGCCACCACACAGCTTGTAGATTCAAACAGCAACTCTTTATTCCCGAACTCACACCAGCCGTCTACAATCACGTTCTGGGGAAATCCACGTTCTTTGCCCAAATCCCCTCCACTGGGCTTCTATCTCCCAAAATATACTGTCTGAATCCCGTGAGAACTCAAGGGGAACTCAGGCAGCAGGATACGCCCTATTCCCAGCAGGAATAATCTTAAACCTTAAACCTGGAACCTAAACTGGGAACGCCCTAAACACGATTATCTTAAAACCGGGAACACCCTAATCTGCCTTGGTCCTTGAGCAAGGTCACGTACATTCAATGTCACTGCAACATGTCAGCAACATGGGGTACGCTGGCAAGGAAATTGTCATACCTACTTGGCTAATGGCTCCCAGCATCTCCCCCCTTCTGATTAATTAAACAACAAGCAATGTGGCTTAAGGACCGTGCCTGGTAGGTTGTCCAATTCAACATATGGTTCTTACCCGTCATCGGAAAACTGACCTTTAGGCGTCAGCCTCCTGTCTTAGGTTGATACCACTGCAATTGAATCATACCCGTCACTGACTACCTGTCCAGCATACAGCCATACTTGTGGATAGGTCTATGCATCAGTGGGGGGGGTGAGGTTCTTTGCCTCACCTCTGTTGGCCCCCAAATTTGGCCTTGGTGCCAGTGGGGGAGTGAGGTTAATGTGAGAAAAGAAATAATAGACATGAAAGCATCAATGAATGAAATGAAAATTGAAAATCAAAGATTTGTTCTTTGAAAAAGCTAAAGACATGGATTTTTGCTCAGATACACAGAGCACAAAAATAACACCAGAAATAAAAAAACTTATAATTACAGTAGATATTTTAACAATCATAAGAGAATGCACTGAGCAACCATGTAACAACAAAAATCTAACAATCTGAAACTATTTTCTAAGAAAAAAAAAAGCAAAAAGAAAATCTGAATAAAGATCAAATACTTGTACCCTGAGCCAGGGCTGGCTCCAGGTGTGTGGGTCCTCACCTGGGGGTCACCTGATCTCATGCTTAGGAAGGTCCTCTACTGGTTTCATACTTTGCTGCCACTGTATTGAAATAATAATTCTTCTTCTCCTTCTTCTTCTTCTTCTTCTTCTTCTTCTTCTTCTTCTTCTTCTTCTTCTTCTTCTTCTACTTCTTCTTCTTCTTCTCCTCCTCCTCCTCCTCCTCCTCCTCCTCCTCCTCCTCCTCCTCCTCCTCCTTCTAATAAGGAGCCCCACATTTTTATTTTGCACTGGGCCCTGGAAATTACAGCCTATTCTTGTCCATGCCTGTACAGTTTTACAGGTGAATTTTACAATTACCTTTTAAAAGACAGATAATACAAAACTTTTCCAAAAACAGGGCAAGAAAGGCAAGTTCACTTTAGAAGATCAGCATAACGTTGCCAACTTCCAAGTTTTCTTAATCGAAATCACCTGGAAATTTGCAGGTGAAATGTGATTTCATCAGATCTGCCAGACTGGGAATAACAACCAGAGTCATTCATTACCTAAGGAGTTGGATATTGACCATGCCACAGAATTGTCCTCTCTGCAAGTGAGGTTGTTTTCTAGTTCTTTTTTCTGCTTCTAACAAGGAACATGCTAGACAAGCTTTTCCCAAGTTCATTCTGGGTTAGTTGATGAGTTAACTATCTTAAGCTCTTCCGGCACTTTTAGACTTTTAAAGTCTTAATAGGAATTTTTTTTTCCAGTTCACTTACTAGTGAACCTTGGAAGGATTTGGCAAATTGACTTTATGCTTATCCAAAGTAGAACTCAGCATGATTTTCCGGAAGCTCTGTGGGGGGAAAATTGTAATTAGTGTCAGGAATCTCATTAAGAGCACCATTTCATTCTGCATTTCTGGAGTTCTGATCTAGCCACCACTGTTCCTTTAGAAGGCAGCCATGAGCTGATCTGTGGCCTTCATGTTTGTGATTTCAGTCATTGGTTGGAATTAGTAATCTGCTTCTGTGATTTAATGAAAACGAAAGACTACCTCATTGATGTCGCAGAAAACATCAATGCCTCTCTTTCTATTCACTTTCAAGTTTTCTTCCTCACTCTCATTTTTCCATTTTCAATGAGAAGTGAGATGACACATACATGGGGTTTTCTTAGAGTCAAAGTATCACTAGAATTAAAAAATATTAAAGGTATTTGAGCCAGGCAGGCATGCACATCTATAATCCCAGCTATTCACTTGGAAGGCTAAGGCTAGAGGATCACAAGTTTGAGGTCACCCTGGGGAACTAGTGAGACCCTGTCTCAAAATAATTAAATTAAATTGGGCTGAGGACGTGGTTCAGAGATAAGGCAATTGCCTAGCATGTTGGAGGCCCTGAGTTCCATCTCTAGTACTGCCCACCCCTGAATCAACAAAAGGCATTCAAGAACAATGATCTTAGACAATTTGCTCCAAGTTGGTACTAAAAATAATACATAAATCCTAGCATGAGAGCTGGGATGAGCTTGTGCCTGTAGTGAATGGCATTATAGAAAACAGGATTTCTACAAGGGAACAAGAGACAGCTCTCCTAATCTGAGAACAAAATTCCTGTAGTATTTAACCAACTCATGAATTCTGTCAAAAATTAAGTATTTGGTAGATACTTGTTGGATAAATTAATGCACATTACTGATTCTGATTCAGGACCCATGGTTTTCTTACATTTGGATTTTCCTTTAGATAAGAGGCAGTGCTCTGTTCTTTGCTGTCTGGGCCTCCCTGCGGGACCCCTGGCTTCATCCAGGCCAGAGGGATGTTACAAAGGGACAATTTGTTTGTGAGCCTTCAAGACTGGTTTGCACACATATCGTGTATGACATTTATTCACTCTTAACTAAAAGCTAAAAAAAGAAATCAAAAATCAATGTAATACATTTACTATGATGCCAAGCACACAGATAACTCTTGATAAATGTGATTCTTATGACATACCTGTAAGTTTGATATCGAGAATACATTATGGATAGGGTGAACAAACTGAAGAGTCTTCTAGGACTCGTGGCAGATGCTGACAGTTAATCGTGATCCTCTATCCTGATATCTCTGGACCCACCTCGAACACTTCTCGGTGGTTTCAGGCAGCTGTCACCAACAACTGGTGTCAGCACAAACCGGAGGTCAGCTGTAGCCTTCCTTAGCTCTGACCCAGCGTGGAGAGATCCAGCCATATAACTGAAGAAGCGGCAACAATAAATGAACTGAAAAGGGACATTGATGTGTTAAAAAGAAAACAAATGCAAATGAAAAAGCAAAGCCTTTATTTTTCAAGTCTGTGTGGTGGGCTCTCTGGCCTTCATGCTAATTCTGGCTTCCTGGCCTCTTTTCTTCCACTGTCTGCCGACACCCACCACCCCCTCCCGTTCCCTCTGCCTCAACTTTCTGTTCCACATATACAAAAAATATCACCCACTTTTTTCCCATTAAAACAGAACAAATTTGGAAGGCAACGTTTCAGCTGGACAAATCTTCTGTTAATTCAAAAGCCTTGTACTGGGAGTGGATGCCCCTTGAGAGACCCCAGGGCACGTCATCCTGACGATTAAGGTTCTCAGGGATGATAAAGGGGGTTCAGCAGGACAGAACAATCGCAGAGCACAATAAGTGCTTTCACCATTGGGGTCAAGGTCCAGCCTAGGAGATAAGAAAACATTCAGCAAATCAGGCTGAATCATAATGCAGCCAGAGCTGTTCATCAGCCTCACCCCAAATGCTTGTGAGAGCCAGACTGACTGACCCATATTGGTTCTTGGCCTCCAAGAAGGGAAGTGAGTAAAGGATGCAGACAGACCCAGGTTTCAGAACAAGTTTTCTGCTTATGTGTTTCTCTGATCAGGATATTTAACTTCTCTAAGTTTGATACAAAATAAGATTCCCAGCTTCTGTATGAGGAGTGGTTGAGATGAGGGACAGGAAAAGAATACAGAACTGGCTCAACAGAAGTGGGTTTTCCTGCCCAGGTATTCATGCATGAAGGTTTACCAGTGGGACTCAGAGCCTCTAAAGACTAAAGGAAAAATCAAGTAGACTTCTGAGCTGTGCAAAATAAAGGTTGGAAATGAGGCAGGCAGGTGACATGGAGTCAGGATGCACAGAGTGCTGGGACAGGAACACGTGCCCAGCTAGCAACACCTGCTCAGCATGCTCCAGCAGATGGCCTGTGGGCTTGTGAGCCACACAAACCAGACCTGATTTTCGATGGGAACCAGAAATCTTAAAAAGGTGCGTCTCCTCTCAGGACTGTCCAATCTTGGCGCATGATAAAATAAACAAACAAGCTGATACTTCTTGTGGACTCAGAATGGGCCTGGCAGTTTCTAAGAGTTTATCAAATTGTTTCGATTTATTTTCTCAGCTATGCCATAAAGTGCACTGTGATCATTATCCCTGCTTTGTAAATATAGCACAGAGAGGTCACCATCATTTGCCCAGTGCTACACAGCAGAGGAACTGGGATTTAAATAAATCCATCTGCTTCCAGCAATTCTCAACCACCTCATTAAACCACCACTCGATTTGTTTTAATGATTTATTTTGACATTTTCTCAGAAAGATTGCAAGATACAATACAAAGAATCCCCATAATCCATTCACCCCGATTCCCCAAGTGTTCACTTTTTGACAATATTTGCTTTGTTCCTCTCTCTTTCTCTCTACATACATACATACACACACACACACACACACACACATACACACACACACCACTGCCCAGCTCTGAATGCTGAAAGTATCCAAAAGCAATGACATCCCAGTGACAGTGAGCACACCCAGGCCTAAAATCCTGGTTTCTAAATTCCACTCTTCCCTGAAACAACTAGGATTTCTTGGAAAACAGGTGGTTCCTGGACTGGGTGGGTGCGGCACAAGATCAGCTTGGATTGTCTTCTTGTTCTAGAAAGTCAGGAAGTGCTCAGCAATGATGGCAACATGTCAAGGAAACGCAGAAGCCTATTTGAAGAGGTTCCTGAGCATCAAAATGAATCCTAGTGAAACACTATCACCCATTCAAAGAGATGCATCCAATAAGCCCGGGTCGATGCAGACAAATTAAGGAGAAGAAGAGATTTTTCTTGACAGAATGTCAACAGCTGGAAGTGGAAGGGTTTCATGGAATTCAGAGAAAAAAAAATCCCTATTTGGCAGCCATGTTTGAGACATAGAACATGTCCCCAGGTCACCTGTGGGTCGGTGGTTTCCAGTGTTTAGCACACAGGCTAACGTGGGAGGCTACGGAGTTGGTGGGGAAAGTTTCTTTTAACTTCTCCGGTGATTCTCAATTATTCCCATAAAAACTCTAAATAGAAAGCAAAGCTTCAGTGCCCCTCTGGTCAGAACCCGAGGGTGGATCATGTCCAGATGTTGATCTGTTTTCCCTATGTGGGCCCAGAATACCCGCCCTGATGGGTACTCCCTCCCACAAAGGGTGCTCTGTCCCACAAAGGGGTCTGCTCACTTTTGTGCCTTTGCTGCCCTCCCTGCTCTGTGTCAAGCACTGAGAAAGGTAAAGTTCAAAAGTTCTAAACCTCATGAGAATACTTATTCATGAGATATGTTAGCCTCCGTTTAGTAGCTGAGGCTCAGAGAGGTTAAGTGAAGTCCTCATGTCACACAACTAGGAAAAGAGTCTTCTATTATGGAAACCCAGGTAGGTGGACTTTAAATCCATGTTCTCCCTGCTGTACCAGCATGCAGGTAACAGAGAGTGGAACTCTGGTGAGTTTCATTTGAGTAAAGGAACATTGGGGATTTAGGTTTGAAAGTTGACCAAGCAGTGGAAAACTTCCTTAGACTTAGGATAGCCTTCACAGACTGACATTACCTGGACAGGGCATTGTCCCAGCAGCAGGAGGAAGGTTCTGCTCCTTTACTGGACGAGGGGGTGAAGTAGCTGGTTTAGGTCTCGGGCTATGTTGCAGAAAAATGCTCATCCTTAAATCCTGGAACCGCACACAGGGCAGCAAGATGCTCATGCTTAGGGACATGCATGAGAAATGAGGCAGGACAGGCCACACCTCCCGTCTGTCTGCTCTCACTGGGCTGTGGCTGTGGGAATCACCTGTGCAGGTCACCCCATGGTGGGCCCTCCACTTCAAGGGCAAGTGGTGGGATGTGCGTGGGTCACCTGTGCAGAGAGCTCATCGCACTCCGTCACCTGCTTAGGTGTAGCTTCCCCACAAAGAGTTCTCTGCACCCAGGAAGCAGTGACAGTCTGTAGAGTCTAGTCACAAACATCTAGGAAGTCCCTGGAGCTCTCAAGTTTCTCCTTCCCGCCTCCCTTCTTTTTCTTCTATTTTTTTCCCTAGTCTCTCAAAAAATTATTTGGGCATCACAAAGCTGAGTGGACTGTGATCTCAACCAGGGACTTTGGTTCAAGCTAGTTGAGGCTTCCTGGTGGCGGAATGGGGCTGGAGAAGATGTGACGAGCAGCCGTGTGCAGGTGTCAATGGTAGTAGCTCTGAATTACCCTGCGACAAGCATTAAGTTGTACACTGATCTGTCAGAACTCGGAGGACATTTACCTCTGGCACGAGTCCTGGGTCAGCCACATAGCAACAGGTGTATGACCTTTGGAAATTCATACAGCTCTCTCTGTCATCAGAAAGGGCTGTTATAGACATTGCGGGGGGGGGGACAAGGTTGACAGTGGATATCTATCATGGGCCAAACACCACGCATCACAGATACAATGGCAAACCAAAATAAGCCTGTGCCTTCTTTCACTGCACTTTATATTATAGTGTGTGTATGGGGGGTGGGGAGTGGGGATGGCAAGTGTCAATCAAATAATCACACAAATGCATATAAGCTTGTTGTGTGGCATGTTGTGAAGGACAAGTTCATGGTGTGTCTTTGATAGGGCCCAGATCCTCTCCACCTTTGCTGGGATTCTGGTTCCTCTATGCACTCTCTGATGATCCTCAACAGGTTACTGACCTTCTCTGAGCCTGTTTCTCAGGTGCGACATGAGAAGCATTGTCCTAAACACTGTGCAGAGTGATGTCGTCTTAAGCAGTAGGTGCTCAGCAGTGCTGGGGCAGGCAGAGCTGATGATATTATTAACATGATCACAACCCTGTTGGTATCAGGGTCTACTCTTGGAGAGCTGCACAGGGAATTGGGGGCAGCAGGCACCTTCTCTGCTGCACCTGGACCCTTTCAGCCCTTTTGCCCACTGTGTGCCCTTCCCTGGCTTCTGCAAACTCTGTTCTTGGTGCTGCTCTTCAAAGACTACTTTGGCTTTAGTGCTTTCTTTCTGGATGCACAAAGAGCCAGACATACCTGGAGTTAAAGCTCCACCATTGCAGAATTGTGAAAGGCCCGCTCCCTGGTCCTGAGAGCAGATCATGCTGCTACGTACCCTCCAGAACTCCCTGCAGCTCCAGCCAAGGCTGGAACACCTGAAGTCCCGCCCTTGTTGGCTCCCTCCCTTCCCCTTCCTGCTGGCCCCACTGCCTCAAGGTGTGCCCAGGAATCACTGCCCAGGGAATGCTGCTCTACGGTCAGCTCCTGTGGGATGTAGGTCATTGAGGAAAACTTCCTGGGGGAAGCTCAGCTCCACAGGGTGCATGGAAATGGGGCAGGAAGGGAGAGTGTGCCAGGAGGAAGACGGCAGTGAGAGCACTCGTGGGAGGAAAGCTTTGGAGGAATAGAAGAAACTCACAAAAGCCCGTGTGGCTGGAGTCCCGAGGCATGGCTGGTGGATGATGTGGGCTGAGGCCGCGGTGGTGTGGGGCATATTTTGCAGGGCATGGAATTGAGGCTTGCAGAATTGGATCTTGATGTTAGAGCAGCAGGAAGCCATAAAGCAGCCCGAGATGTGGTCAGGTCTGGGTTTGGAGAAGACCAGTGAGGCAAGTGTGAAGGGGATGGAGGGAGGGGAGAAGGGTGGGTGGGGATCTGGTGTTGCATGAGTGGCCCAGGTGAGAGATCCTAGTGGTGCAGCCAGTTGGTGGGGATGGTGCTGAGGACAGAAGTACATGACCTCAAAAAATCTGTGAGCAGCAAAAATTGGAAAATTTCTTTGAGATTCAAAGAACCATCTTTCAGTAAAATTGCTATCAAAGTCTAGATTTTGGTGAGGGTAGATTTGTGATATAAGGCTTGTAAAATGGCCACATACGAAAATTTCATACCAGTAAGACAAAGATTGAATTTTTAAAATTTTGAGATGATAGATGCAATGAAGAGGAAAAATGTCTTGAGTATTTAAAAACTTTTATTTTTGCTTTCAAAGTATTCAAAGATATGCAGATGAAATCTGATAACACATGTGGATTTATAGTTCCAAAAATAATTTCATAGTACCAAGAAAGCATAGACTCATTTTAGCAATATGGACATATGTATTCAAATACAAAGACATAACACTTCCAAAATGTTCTAAAAATATAACCTCGAAAAGGAAATATCTACCAAATATACACAAAAATACAGTATGCTTTTAGGAAAAGCAGTAGTGAAAACATGCTCAAATAAACCATATGTAAACAGCTTTAAAAGTCTTATATGTAAGGCACGAACCTCTATGCACTTTGCATTTATGAAATAGTATTTTTCCAAAGAAGTTTAGTTCACATAACAGATGTTCCATAATCTTTAAGGAATGCATACCTTCCTATTGCCCCATTAGGTAGATGGGAAGATCAAGGCAGAGAAATCATTTTATTAAAGTCACAATGAGTATTTTGAAGCTGTAACTGAACTTCAGTACATCACCCCGCACTACAGATCCTAAATTAAGCACCACATATTACCACTAGAAAGAATCACACACACACACACACACACACCCCAGGATGTACCTCTGCGGTCATACTACAAACTCTTGACCCATCCATTCTATGGTCCACTGCCATAGAGTAAATACATTAATGAAATAAAACATTTCAGGGCTCTTTGAGTAAATGATGTCATATTAAATCATTAAGATATTCTTGTATAAGAAGTTCTGACTTAAACTACCTCTTAAAACAGAAATATTCTCTAATTTTCCAATATTTCCACTGAATGCAGGAAAACACAGTTTTGTGAGGACCTGGTTGCTTTAACCAACATTCAGCTTTGCTAACATTATTAAGCAGGTATTCATGAAACAGAAAGACAGCAAGTGGATTATCAGTATCACCCCGATATAAGACAGACACCTTACACCTTTCACTGAGAACCATGAGCTTACTCTGGAGAATTGGCAGTGGGTCTGGCAGGGCAGGTGCAGAAACACCTGGCAACCTCACCTGACTGACTGGCAAGTGCTCAGCACCCTTCATGCCATGGAGGATACAAGAGAAAACAGGCTTGTGGGGACCTTGGAAAAGTGTAAGCAGGGGTGAACCCTGGAGAGCCTGGTGTCCCAGCACTCAACTCACTTCCCTGGGTTGGACTTACTCTTAGTAAGTGGCTTCATCTAAACAGACAGTACAGTTCTAGAACAAGTGGCAGGGGGAGAGGAGAGACACCAGGGCTTAAACATTCTTCATGAGCTGCTGCTGCTCTGCTGTTGGCTTTCCAGGGATGCAGAAGCCCAAGCACCATTCTTGCAGGAAGCTAAAAAATTGCTCTTCTTGATCCTGGTAGGAAAAAAAATATGGAAAATAAATGATACCCCAAATACAAAGAATGAATTACAAAGAGATAGATTACTAGCAAAAATAAATACTAGAACTCAAACTGTCAAGGACTCTGGCCCAAGGTATGGCTTGCCACCATGAATGTGCTGTCCTTGCTGTAGACTGGGGGTCTTGTGATCAAGCTGGAATTCCTCCGATGCCCTACTTTGTTTAACTCTGTTGGTTTGGGTGCTCAGAGTTTGATGAATTGCCTAGTGGTACCAGAACTTGGGGGAGGAATAATAAAATATTCATTTGGACCTTATTCAGAAACTTTATTTGTAATTACACATCTCTCTAAGTGATCTCCCCACCAGCAGATGCCCTTCACTTTTGCAGCTGGAAATGACCACTGGTTCTAGGCAAAGGCCAGGGATGCTACTGAAAAGTCAGGTGATAGAGTGGGTTTGAGTGCTGGGGGGGGGTGATTCCATAAGGCTGCCTGCTTCAGGAGCCGTGATTCCACAGCAGACGATGCTGGGGTCTCCAGGCTGACTTGTGGTCCCTGTGAGAGTTCTGAATTCATTTTAATGTATTAAGAGAAAGCTCCTAACTTGAGTTTGAGGCTTACAAACTCATCAATTCATTAAGGAAGTGACTGCTCTCAGGACAAGGCTAAAGTGACAAAGTCCAAGTTAATTGAAAGAAGATAATCCAGTAAACAGACCTGGCAAAAGTTGTAAAGAGGACAGGAGAGAACTCCTCCACTGACAGAAGTGGTACCGAATGGCACGTGGCAGTGTAAAAGTGTTGCATTGCACTTAACACAGGCTACAAGTACCTACATTGACACTACATGGCTCTACACAGCATAAGCTAAGACCTGAGGGCCAAAGGCAGCTTTCCTATTTCCATAAAGTTTTTTTGGAACACTGCCTTTTTAGCAGAATAATGGCCATCTAAATACATCAGAACTCCCATCTCTAGATGGGTGATTGTTACCTTACATGACAAAAGAGACTTTGCAGAGGTGATTAAGGATCCTAAGATGGGTAGACCATCTTGGTTAATAGCTTGTCTGAGAGCTGGGTCATAGGAACATGAGAGGGACTCAGCTGCTGGCTTTGAGATGGCTGGAGGAACACGACCAGGCTCTAAAAGTTGGGCACGGCCTTCAGCCAAAGTAGCAATCAAGTGGGGACCTCAGTCCTGTAGCCATAAGGAACCAAATTCTGCCAATAACCCACATAAGCAGGGAATGAATTCTCCTCTGGAACCGCCAGAAAGGAATAGGGCCTTGTGGACACTTTGATTTTAGCCTAGTCAGAGCCGCATTGGACTTCTGACCCACAGAACTGTAACATGATAAATCTGTGTTCTTTAACCCACTAAATTTTAGTAATTTGTTAGGGCAGCAATAGGAAGGGAATACAATAGCCATTCATTATGGTCCTCTGTGGCTGCCTGCATTTTTCAAGATAACCTTAAGTAGATGTGGCAGAGACTCCACAGCCCACAGATCCTAAAATATTTGCCAATTGGCCTTTGTTAGAGAAACAGCTGGTCAACCTCTGCTATTCTTACATAGAAACTGTTAAGAGCAGCTAGCATTCACTGAGCACTTATTTGACATCCAGGTCTGTCTGAGCTAAGATTTTTGTATTCATATCAATTTTCTGCCACAGGTACTATTCTGGTCCCCACTCTCAAATTTAAAAAAAGGGGGGTTGGGTGGGGAAGGAAACAGAGGGAGAGGGCTAGGGCTTAAGTAACTGCTCCAAATTGCCCTGTGAGTCAGTGGTGGGCAGAACTCAAACCCAAGCCAGGCTGACTTCAGGGCTCAGCTTGGTCATTTGCAGCACCTTGCAGAGAGCACGGATGCCCAGATGCTCACCTGAGTTCTTATCGCTGGCAGAATGCAATGGGGAGCTGCCGGCTGGGCACCAGGATACCCAGGTGCAGCATCTCAACAGGCTCCTTGTCTGTGGCCACGATGTCATATTTGCGGACGATCTAGAACACACGTGTACAAAAAAGCAGAATTACCCTTCCTTTCTCCTGCCTGTGGAGTCACATGGCTGCAGAGATCCAGCAAGGAACTTACCCAGCAGACAGCTAAGTGGAGTTGGAGCTCAGCCAAACGGCGGCCAATGCACATCCTTTTCCCAAGGCCAAATGGAAGATGTGCAAAAGGATTAATCTTTTTCTTCTCCTGAAGCCAACGTTCAGGTCTAAACTGACTTGAATCCTCAAAATTGTCTTCATTGGACCCCAGCACCTGGGTATTCAGCATCAGCACTGTCTAAAAACATGGGGGGAGGGACCCAGCATTTTAAATAATCAGAAAAGAATGTTTTAATGGCAAAAATTATAAAAGTGATGATCTTTACACATGCTTAAAATGTGCCAAGTAATAAATAGGCACAGAAATTCAGTGTTTTTACTTCCTATTCTTGGAACAACCCCATATGGCAGATTCTATTTTCTCCCCATTTTACAGATGAGGAAGTTGAGGGTCACAGATGTTATGTGACTCACTCAAGAACACACAGATAAAAGTGGAATTAGATTCAGGTCTCTATTTCCATAGGCATGCTCCCTAATTCTGTGCTACATAAATGCGAATTATAATGCTTCCTGCTGTGGATTTCCCAAATGCTGTCTTGGCAAAAAGTTTCAGAGAGATCTGTTGAATGTTTGGAAAGCATATCTTTCAAAGTTTTGTAAGGTACAGAATACACAAGTTCTACTTACTCCTTTGGGTAAAACATAGTCACCCAGGACTGTTGCCTTGTCAAGAGTCCGAGTTGTAAATGGTACACTTGGGGTAAGCCTGAAAACAGAAAATCAATTGTAAAGGTGGCCACTGACCAAATTCTGTTCAAAATGTCAGTGAGAATGGAGATCAGATTAAGTACATGTTCAAAACTGGGGTAGCCCCTCATAAAGTCCTGTCTTCCAAATATTCATCTCCCTTGTTGCTTTTTCTTGTCATATTGTATTGGCACAATCCCTAGTGCCAGGCTAACCAGTAACTGCTAACAGTGGTTTTCCTGTCTCATTCCAGACTCCACTGTGTAGGTTTTTTGTGTTTCACCCTGAAGTCTGATGTTTGTTCTATATTTCTCCCATCTACCATTCTTTTCATAATATTTCCTTCTACTTTGAAGATGTTGTGAGTTTTGATTTCCAGAAAGTAGGTAAAAAGAATTTTCAAAGAACATTTTATATGAGGAGCTCAGAAATGAAGGTGAATGTGTCTTGTTAGTAATATCGTGGTCTCTTGCCAAGGAATCGCCTCAGGATCTGCAGACATGCCCTGGTCTTCTTCAGTGTTCAGAGCATCTATTGATGTGGTCATTCCTTTAAAGGGGAGGACTGACATTCAGATTTTAATGGCATTTGCCCTAATGACTTAGGGAATATGTAACAGAAAAGAAATGTGGTCCAAAGACTCTTCTTCCAAGTTTGAGAAATGTTTATAATCATCAAGGATAGCTATCTATGAGAGGGCTACCTTTGTTAAGTATTTAAGAGAACAGTATTCCAACATAATTATATTGGCTTATTCATACCTCATAGATTCTTTCAGACAGGCCTTTAAATATGGCATATTCTGCAGATCTCCAGCCCGTGGTGTTTGATTCTCAGGCAACACACTTTGAATTTCCTTAAGAAGTTTTTGTTGCACTTGGGGATTACGGGATAAATTGTAGAGAATCCACATCAAGCTGTTTGCTGTCTGAAACCCAAACAGATACAAACCTGAATTTCTGTAAATAAACTGCCTTAAACTACTACGAGCTAAACAAAGGTGATACCTACTGCCTTGCTTTGCAAATATGTTAGTGATTTTTTTCACATGGTCTTATTTGCTGTGCCCTAAACAAACCCAATATTTGAAAAGTCAGATTTATTTTGTGAAACGTATCAATTCAGGATAGCTTACTTGCTGAGGGAATCAAATAGAATCCTTTAAATAACCAGCTGCATCAGGACATTTAGAATATAGTTGGATCCAATAATTGCTTAAACACAGATAAATGTATATCAAACTGGTGGAATGAGAATAAGTTGGTAGATTATATCAGTGCTGACGTGTAGGTTGTAATGATGTTTTATTGTTAGGCAGGATGTTACCCCTGGGGGACACTGGATGAAGGATACAAGGAATGAATCTCTATTCTTTTTCTTAGAACCAAATGTGAATCTATGATGATCTTAACATTAAAAAGTTTAACTAAAATTGCTTAAGGTAAAAAATAAATTGATGTAAAAATTGAGTAAAGAGAGCAGGTCGGAGATCCTTGAAGTGCTCCTCCTAAGAGGCTTAAATTTCTATTTTTTTTTTTTTTTTGCAGAGCAAATGCACAAGAAGTGAGTATTTTTGAAACTTTAAAGTTCTTTGGGCCACACCCTGGGAAATTACCATGGAAATGAAAAGGCATTCTCAAAGTTTCAGCCACATGCAAAGAACCCTCATAGGGGGATGCCAACAGCAAAGAGGAAATGCTAGCGCTGAGCTGAGGGTACAGGAGGACCTGGTCCCCTTGGCCCATTCTAGGACCTCCTTGGGCACATTGGTGCAACCAGCCATTACAGCTTTTAGCTACATAATAGCCACCACCAGTGGGCACACATGTTTGTTTTTTAGGCCTTAGCTAATTTAAGTTAAATAGTCCCCTAAAAATGGTCACAGTGTCCTTCCCTCCGCAGACTCGAAGACGCTGTCGCCAAGTGCCATCTGCCACTCACTTAGATGAGCAAAGTGCAAGGCAACTCAGAGCCCATGGCTATTTATTATTTTTGGAAGAAGATGCCTCCAAAGTAGGCTTCTGCATGTCAAAGGACCGGTGGCCTCAGCTGCAAATAAACCCATGGTGGCATTATTATAAGAGTCCAATTTACAAAACAGGAAGAGGGTGTAGCCACCAAATTAGAGGCACTCAAAGTTTTCTGATTCTCCAAAAGCGACTTTCAGAACAGCTGAGACTAAAAAAGAAATGGAGATTGTGTATAACCATATCAGTCAGCTCTTCACCACAAGTACCAAATGGAGCTCCCAGAAGAGGTGCCATGTGAGACCAACTGAGCATGTTAAGAAAGACGCAGGGGCCGGTTGGAGGGGAAGTGGTCTGGGAAACCTCAAGGGCACAGGCTATCCCGGCTTGACCTCGGGAGGAGACCCATCTCCTTAACTGGCCTGCTTCTACTCTCCCTGCACTAAGTTCCTTCTCCACCCACCAGCCAGAGTCCGCTTGTCAAAACAGAAATTGGACAGGTGACTGACTCCTTTGCCTAAAATGTTCCAAGAGCTTCTCCTTATGGGCGTAATGAAACACAAAGGCCTTACCAAGGCTCACGAGGCCTTGCAACCTCCAGTTTCAACTCCTATCACATTTGCTCATTCTCTAGCTTCAACCCTCTGTCCTCCACAGGGCCTTTGCATGTGCTATCCTTCCCTCCCTGAAGTGCTCTTTCACCAGGTTTCCACATAGCTGGATCCTTCCCTTCATTCCAGAATCAACTCTGGTATTATTTCCTCAGAGAGGGACCCCTAGCCCCACTCCCATCTCTCAATATCCTTCTGATGACTTCCTCTGTGGCACATGACACTAATTGAAATGATCGTATCTGTTTGATTGCATGTCTGCTGTCTGTCTTCCCACCAGCATATGTGTTCCCTGAGGCATAGGACTTTGCCTCTGGTTCATGATGGTCTCTCAAGGACCCGCAATGGTCCCTGGCACACAGAAGACACTCTATAAAACCTGGTTTCTTTCATTTATTCCTTAAGCATTTACTGGCCACCTAGCACACGCCAGGCTCTGTTCTGTACAGGAGTGCACTCAGTCATTGCCCTTACAGAGCTTAACAGTTGAAAAAAATAAAAAGAAATGGAAATTTTAGTTCTATCACTCTAAGAAACCTTTTAGGGTTTACGATTCAATAGGAAAATGAGATACAATGAATTTTTGCCTGTATCAGCCACTCGGGCAGAGGAGAAAAGAGGATGTGACCTCTGGATGGAGAAAACCCTCCTCTTTCTGTGCACAAGAAACACTAGGAAAAAAGAAAATGGGAAAATCAGCAAGCTGACTTGCCTTCTGAGACACTTTAAGGTGTGTGCACTGTTGGATTTATGGGGAATATCAATATGCATCACTCTCATGATGGCTCGAATATTGACTCAAAGACAACTAAACACACCTATGTGCATTTGCCAGTATTTGCATTTGGAATTGGACTATATGGAGTATCTACTATGAGTGTAAGCCATCCTGGATTGAAATAAACCTGCTTATTTCAATTAGAATCATACTGTCTCAAACTAACTATGTCCAAACTTCCAAGCAGGAAAAGCATTATTGGCCTAGAGCATGGTATTTCAATATTTTTACAATACATATCACCTGCCACGGGCAAGCACTTTGGAGTAACATATGCAATGACCTAAAATAATCCAACCTTAAAAAACTTTACTGCTTCCAAATCCCTGTAGTAGTTTGCATGTTTGTCATGGCCATGACCAGATCCTATTCTGATTTCTGTCACTGAAGCAATGACGTCTCCGCCATATGCTCGCAGCTATACCTTTCGTCTCCCTGCACCATCAAGTGCAAGACTTTGGAGCTTCGCTAAGCTGATGCTCAGTTAATCTTGGTGGAAGGAGTGAGTTGAAAGACTACCTCAAATTCTTGAGGAAAACACCTGCACAGACTGTGCATTTGGCAGACTGGCCCCTCCTTACCGTTTCTACAGCAGCCAGCTGGAGCTCTGTGACAGCCGCATAGAGTTCCTTCCTAGAAAGCTGACTGTGCTGGTAAATATCACAGAGGAAATCAGCACCAGGCTGTTGAGAGTATTTCTCCAGCCGGCTGTTGACACAGGACTTGACTATTAGAGAAGAGAGAGGGAAAAAAAAAAGACAGTTTAATATTAGGATGAGGAAAGAACCCGAGGGAATCTCAGAACAAATCCTTGCAAAATCTGGAAAGTCTTTTCATGCTGGAAATTTGCTAAATAAGCTCGTACTGCCTTCCTGTGAGGCTGGCGAGAATATCTCAATGCCCACATAAGCAAGGTGCCTCAAGATGCCTCGGGCACTTTCTTCAAACTCAGACCCAAATCAGGGGTGGGGGCCTGGAAGTCTGCATTTCTCACAGGTGGCCATGATGCAGATGCTGCTGTTCTGTGGCCATATTTTGAACAGCAAGAGCTCAGAACCCAGGAGGGATCAGCAGATGAGGAAGTGTGAGCGGGTTCCTATTCAGAATCAGAATTTTAGACCCAATATTACTAAACACACACACACACACACATACACACACATACACACACACACGTACCTACAGACCCCATACATGAAAATATAGTGCCTGTGCCTGTTGGTAATAATGGAAAACATAGAATACATCCTAGGTACCGGTCTCCCTCCCTTTGATACAGTGTGCAAGCAGCCCCAGACTAACAGTGACGATGAGCTCAGTGACAGGGGTCACAAATGAGTAGAGAGCTTGAGTCCTGAAGCCCTTCTGCCCAGCTCCAAACTCTGGTTTTGCCAGAACCTCACATGTAGTCTTGGGAAGTGTCTCAGGCACATCAGTTGGAACTCATAAAGGACCTACCATGGAGGTTAGTTATAAGGATGAAATGTGTGCGTGTGAACCTAGCACCAAATATTCCCTCCATCGTGTAGCAGAAATGGCAAAGCCCTACCCACTGAGGTACTGTGACACGCTAGGTCTTCGTGTCCTCTGTGTCGGGCTTAGAACGGCTCATGCAGGTAGGTTTTACCATTGTTTGCTCATTTAAGAGACCAGGCAACACAGGATGACGCGGAGACAGCACTTTGGCCAAGCTGCCATGCATAGGGAACCCAGGGACCTCTGACTCCAAAGCTCTGCTTTTAGCCACTTTCAGTTCCCGAAGAAGACCGTAGAAAGCCACCTCTTGTCTTTCTCTGAGATTCATCTACACTTGTGTATTTGCAAAGCTTAAAGGAATCAGGAGGGGCGACTCCACAGAGAGGTCAAGGTGGCTGACCCAGGAAGGCCATTCCAGCCCTTCCCCAGCTGGGGCTTTGTGGGCCCAAAGTGAAGGGCAGCCCTCGTACCTGATTTGAAGATGGTGTCCCAGGCCAGCGTGTGGGCCTGCCAGACCTTGGTGTTGAGGCTCCTGTGCAGCTCAACTGGCGTGACCATCATCCTCCCAAACGTGCTCATCATCTGTGAGAAACAGGAGCACCTCTTCATTCCAAATTCTCCTCTCCCTGGAGGTTGCTCCAAGCCCCGCACCCTGTGCCTCTCCGAAAGCCGGAATTCAAAGGTGCCCTGCTCTCTCACACCGATCCCAGGCACAATGCCTACGCCCCACCTCCCGTGGAACATCAAAAGCAATCTTGGGGTGACTTTCCGCTGTGTGTTTAATAAAAGGTGCTAGGTCTTATGACCCAATTAAAAAAACATATAAAACCATAACTTTCATATTCACTTCAATTTCAAATAATTTCCTAAGCTCGGCCATTCATTCCAAATCAAATTCGACCGCATCCACACATACCTAAACCATTCAAAAATTTAAAATCTGAAAAACTTCAGGCACTTTAAAAATTTTTTTTCCTTAACTGAACATTAATGGGAATACTAAAAATAGGTATAAGGTCAATTTCTATTTTGCTAAAATGACCCTGCGTAAACAAAGCAATAATGGGTTTAACATGCTTCTGAATGACATGGGCACCTATGCACATACTATATTAAAATACATTATCCACATCAAGGTAAATAAGCTAACTTGAAATAAAGCCTTGGCATATGCCACTGTTGGGAGACAGTGCCATGCACATGAATCTTGAGGCCACTCTGTCCTGTGAGCTGTCCTCATGCAAGGGCTGCTTACTGTTTTGATGGCCGCGATGAAGTTCAGAGCATCTTCCCCAGCATTCTTCTGAAGGAGCCCAAATCTCTTCTCATATAACACGAGGCAGATACCTATTATTTAAGATAATCGTGACTGTTACACAAGCTCAGCCACACTGGCGTTTATGATTAGCTGGCTCTTAAAGACTTGATTCTGTGTCTCATAAAATCATGTTTTTGCTAAGGAACATACGACTCAGAAATCCAAGAACATTAAGGGAAAGCAAATGGTCTGAGAGAAAGGGGCGAAAGCACTCTCCTCCCTTTCTAGAAATCGTTTCCAGCACAATGAGCCACCCCTTTAGTCTGGGTCTCGAAGGTCACCTGAAGATGTAAGGCAAAGGTGGTGTCAGGGGCCAGCTCTGCTCTGCCTCCAGCTCAGCTGGGTTGCTGAGCTGTTTATTGGATTCTGCTGCCCCACATGGCCAAGGGGAGGCCATGGACCAGCTGAGCAGCCAGTACCTGCTAGTCCTGAGCCAGTGCTTTGTTGACTTTCCCCATTTAATTATTTTATTTAGGCACAGTCTTTTTAAAAATAAAATTTCCAACTCCATTTCAAAAGTTTTAGATACAGAAAAATTGAAAGATTAGTATAATCGATACCTATGTCCTCTGAGCTCGGAAGTAGTTATTGTTAACATTTTGCTACAGTGACTTTCTCCTAGGGCCAATGTATACATTAAGTCTCTGTGTGTCCCCGTGTGCTGAAAGTGATTTTTGACCTTTTAGATACTTCAAAATTAAATAAGTTAGCAGATATCTTCTAAGAATAAATACATTCTCCTATGTAACCACAATGTCACTAATACCCTGAGAACATTACCCATTCCATGATATGCCCATGTGCCCATTTTAAAATTTCCCTCATTGTCCTAAATATTGTCTTCTTAACTGTTTTCTTTTATGATCCAGGATCACTGCTGTTGCTGCCTGATTTACAACCTGGGTCAAGAGGGTGAACCACTGGCCTCAAGTCCTCCAGCTGAGAAGCAGGGTCAGTGCGAGCCACGGGTTTCCAACCACATCTTACTTTCCAAACTCCCCCAGTAGAGGACAGCCTTTCATTTTGGAGGAGGAGGAGGTGGGGGGAGGGGGAGGGGGAGGGGAGGGGAGGGGGGAGGGGGAGGAGGAGCTGGGCCTTCAGCACAGGGCTGCACCCCCGCAGCTGAGGGCCTCCTTCCTCCAGGCTTCTCAGGATCCAGGTGTGAATGTTAATCCACCTCCGCCCAGTTTTCTTTAGTGGGCAACTAAATGCCTTGGATAGTCCTCAATCTGGGTACTTCTAGGGGTCAATTTGCCAAACATCCACGTCATGTCTCTCTGTCAGTCTTTGCTTTTACTCCTCTTTCCCTTACACTATGGATGTCTTTCTTGCATAAAGCTTTCTAGGGTGCTGAGACGACAGGTCTGGAACTTGAAAGGTGGTTGATCTGAAGGGGGAGACAGGTCTACAAAAGCCCCCACCTGGGGGATCCCTGCCGAGCCCTCCCTTCAGCAGCCAGAAGGATCCAGCAAATCTGACAAAGCCATCCCCTGCGAAAGTCACTCTACTGTGGCTCCTGGCTGCTCTAGGTTCAGCTCCAACCTCCCGTCCCGTCCCGTCGCATCTATAAAGCCTCCAGAGCGGCCACTGCCCTCCCCCGTCCCCTGTCCTCCTGCGTTCCTCTCCACAGAACAGCTACAGCTTCCAGGACGCCTTTCTGTGTTAGAGTCTGTAAACAAGTCAGGATGGCGGCTGCAGCCGGACTGCGGCATTTCTGTCCCTTCCACGCAGCACTCCTTACACTGGAACATTCCTCCTTCCCTCACTTTCTACCTGGTAAATCCCAGCTCTCCATCAGGTCTGGAGTGTCACCTCCTGGAGTGTCACCTGACCAAGGCTGGCCTAGGGAGCCCTCATGGCTTCTCCCACAGCCCTGACCTTCCTCAGCCCCCCTGCTGCATCCCTGTGGGCAGCGAGCTCATCAAGAAGGGGTCCACCTTGAATTCCCAGGCTGAATCTTAAGGAAAGAGCGCCTGTCCCCATCTTTGGGGAAACCCTCCACGACTCCCCCTCTGAACCTGACAGAGGATCAGATTCTCCCCAGGACCTACTGGCTCTGGTGATCCGGAGCCTCCTCTTCTTCCTGTCTTTTTGGTTTCCACAGCCTCCCCACCCTGCTCAGCACAACTCATTCGCACCAGCATTCTGGAAGTTTCTCAGACACCCTGTGAGTGTGCATGCTTCTACCTCAGGGCATTTGCACCTCCTGGCTCCACTGTGGGAACACTCACATGCAGATACCCCAGGGACTTTCCCTTCCCTTCCTTCAGGATGGGGCTGTCTCCTTACCGGAGAGGACCCCTCCCACCTCTGCTTGTCACTGGAGTGAGATTTTATCCCCCAAACCACCTACAAAACTAAGCGAGGGAGACTGCAGACACTACTCACTTTCAAAGGACCATTTGTTGAGCTCGCGGTACAGGTCTTCCATGCAGCCTCTTTCATCACAGAGCTCATCTATCCTTCCCATAAAATCAGCCAGCACCTGCAGAGCAACCGGGAGAGATCGCAGTGAAAGTCATGGAAGGAAACAGGGTTCAAGCTGAGGGTGCTGAAGGGTTTGCTCTATCTGTGTTCTCTGCCCCAGGTGTCTCTGTAAAGCAGCACTAATTACAGGATGGCCTTGGGAAGCTGCCAGGCCACACCACCTTGTCCCTGGTTATCTCCTGAGCCCTTCCTGAAGCCACCCCAAAGCTTCAGATTCCACTTTTGATCTAAAAGTAATTCTGACAATTTAAGAAAAAAAAAAGCATTTCTCCTCATCAGAATGAGGCAGGGAATTGGCCTCATGTCCCTGGCAGGGACATCACCTTGAGGACGGTGAGGCTGTGACTGTGCTGAGGTCTGCACTCCACACTTCCATATCTGGGTAAGAAATTGTCTCTTTTTTTGGTTGGTTGTTTTTGTTGAGTATGTTGAACTTGGAACCAAATCTGCAAATCCTGGATGCAGTGCTCTCCAAATAGCCCAGTGTCCTTGGACAGTCACATAAGCTCTCTGTATGACAGTTTCAAACACCAATATTTTTGGTGACGAATGCCTTATAGTTGACAACGGCTGTAAAGTACCATCCACTGCCCGGAGTGTGCTCTCAGCTGACCCACAGAGCAAGCCCGGGAGGTGGGAGGCACTGCAGCTATGGAGGCTCTTTAGGGAAGCTAAGTCACTCGCCCACGGACACTTAGCTGATTACTTGCCATGCTTGACCCTGGAAGAAGGTACATGTGACTCTAAAGCTTGCAAATGTAATCAATGGACATGTATAATGTTCTCACATAGTGTATTAAAAAGCATTTTGAATTTTTTTTTTACCACTAAAGAATCAAGAGATTTCACATAAATGTATGGATTCTCTACTACTTGTCAAAATAGTAATGATGAGGTTATTATTACAAGGTGACACTGGCTGTGTGTTCCCATGTGGCAGTAATTTGCTAGATCTGTGGCAGCCATCCATGCATGTGGGCATGCACTCTTCTGTTTGCTGAATTCTTTACGGGACCTGTCTTACTATTCTGTATTAATTATCCAGCTCCTGGACACTTCTAAGTTTGCAATCTCTCATCTATATGATTCTGTCTGGGTCCAAGTCCAATTTAAAACAAACATACAAAGGTAACAGTAGTAACAAGAGATTACTTAAAATCCCCTTTGGCCTCCTGTTGGCTAAAGGATATTGTCCAAATACTTCAGCAGGGCATAAAACCATTGTCAAAGCCTCCTGCCTATCTAGTCACTCCAGGGAAAGCCTCGGTTCAGGTGCATTGAATGCTGTTCTCTAAACATAGGGTGTCTCTTCCCATCCCTGCATTTTCAGATTGTTCTCTCTGCTTAAATGCTTTTCTCCACCTTATTTTTCTTGTAAATCCTACTTATCCTGCAAAACCCAGCTCAATGTCACTACCTAAGTCCTTTATAAGCACTATCTCATTTAATTCTTCCAGCGAACATGTAGGGTAGGAACTGTTACATCCATTATATATAGATTGGGAAACTGAGTCTTAGGAAAAGTGACATAGCCAGTGAGGGAAAGTCTGGAGCTTAGATCCAAGCCTGGTGAGTACCAAAGTCTGTGCTCCTAATGGTTGGAGAACCATTAAGTATTATTTTTAAAGGGTTTGGGGGAGAAAGGAATGAGGATTGGGGGAAAGAAGGATGGAGAGTGAGGTAGAGAAAAAGAGAAGGCCCTGGAATTGTCCAGATTGCATGCTTTTCCCTCTACACTTTGAAGGTATGAACTGAAGCTCCATTTACATCCCTCTGTCCCCAAGAGACCCAGAAAGCTGGCCCCAGTCTGCAAACCTCATTGATTTTGTTGTCCAGCTTCATAATTTCCACTGGTTTCATTAGTTTCTTTTGAAAGGCACTCCGCACCCTCTGCCAGTCTTCTCCTTCCCTGGGAGAGGAGCAGGATTATATTTAGAGCCAATGAAAAGAAGGGAATTGTAGAAATAACTCCAGGTACAACTTCATGAACCATGAAAGCAAATGAACCTTGAGAATCATGCCAAGAAATATGCACCAAATGTTAGCATTAGAATATTCGGGGCTGATTTGACTATAGGATAAAACAGAAACCTTTCCTCCTAGCCCAAGACTGTATCAGGAAGGTGAAGCCCAGATGAGTTGGGCTCAGGGCTTTGGGTATGCCCTTCTGGACCTAGGGCTGGGAGGCTGAGGGCCTCAATTTTCACCAATAAGAGCCAACTCCATGGATGTACCTTAGCCAGCAACTTGGGTTTGTTTGAAAAAAAAAATCCGTTTTCAACTCATCAGCTTGTACATAATAACCAGAGAAAATTTAGAATTTTGCCATTGCCTCCAAATGATAGCATCTAGTCAGAGTCACTGGAGTTGTGAAAAGTCCATACACCTTATGAACTTGCCCCAAGGCTGACCACATAGCTTATGAAGCCCCAAGTCTTATCATGGTTTCCAATGACAACTGTATCTTGAAGAACACAGCTTCTAGGTATTACAATATGGGGTTAAAGAAAAGTGCTACTTGTTAAATGTCCACAGTTAAAAACCAGAGGAACCACATCATACTGTGGCTTTTATTTCTCTAGAATGTGACCTTGGCACCTGTCCTTATCCACCCTTGCAGAGACATAGCTCTTAACCCCAGATCCTTTCCAGAAAAGAACACTGTGGAAACAAAAAAGGATAATTTCCAGCTTTTGAGTTTATGGGGTGGGGGGAGGACATCAGGGAATTTTAAGGGGTTCTTTTGTTTGTAAATTATTTGTCTGGCACACTGACTTCAGAGCCTTATTCTCTGGAATAGTCTGAACACCAGAATTCGTGTGACATTGCTTTTGAGGGAAGGCTGACCTGCAGGAGAGCAAGTACTCTCTGCTGCCTCTTCCCTGGACCCATTCTATTCAGCGGCGCAGGATTGCACTTCCTGCAAGTAGGGGCTTTGGTTTTGTCCGGCATGAGAAATACATCACTCCAGGGAACTCTTAACTCCCGCCCCTTCCCAACTTCCAGGCACTTCAGACCAAACTACCTGTCTGCGTTCTGCGCACTGGACTTACAAGATCAGCAGTCCGTAGCCCTCCTTGCGGTAGTCGCGATAGGCCTTCCATGGCTTGATCTCCAGCCGCTGGGGATACGCGCTCTCGGCGCGGTACAGCGCTTCCAAGAGGCATGGGGAGCCCAGATGCACTGAGTCGAAGGAACCCAGCTTCATTCGAAAAATTTTGCCATACTTCTTGTGGTACTCTACCTGCAGCGGGTAGAGCGAAACTTTGGAGTAAGCGCGCATCCTCCGCAATCCCAGGAACGCTGATGACTCCTGCAGTTTAACCAGTGCACTAGTGCACCTGAGCGCACCCAGCGCACCGCGCGCCCCTGGCCTTGCGCCTTAAGGAGAGGTTGAAGCGATACTGGGAGAACAGGGCAGGGCAGGGAGCAAAAGGGAATTGGGGCATGACAAAATATTTACCAGAGTGTCATGCTGTTTCTTCAGGCCCCCTTTCCAAAGAATCTCCAGCAGACTGCCCAGCAGTGGCCAGTTGGTGGGACCCGGCAGGGTGTCCGCGTTCTGCGTCTCACCACGTGGCATCAGCGGACAGAGGGGCACCTCTCGCGGTGGACGGGGCGCACACGCCCTAGATGTCATGCGTCTGGGGGGCTGCCCCAGGCTGCGCAGCCCCTGCTTGAAGGCGGCAGGGGAGCGGCTCATGCCAAGGAGGGAGCTCATGGCAGCAGCGGAGACGCGGGGCATGGGAGGACCCAGCACTGGGGAGGGCAAGGCTAAGAGTTGTTAGCGGGATCTGGGGACTTGACGATTCTGGGAAATTCAGGGCCAGCCGATTGACAGAGGAGGGTAGAGGAGGATCAGGGAGCAGAAGGGACCTTGGAGAGAATGCAAATGCGGCAGCCTCCGGTTGCAGCTGCCAGGGTAGCGCTGGAGACAGGGGCTGAAGGAGCGCTGCCGGGGTTTGGTGGCTCTTGGAAGAGGAAAGGAGCCCCGTGGGTCCGCGGTTTGGTCTGCAAGTCTGACTTCTAGGGTCTGGAGCCACAGATGGGAATGCCCAGGAGGGTGAAAAGGATGCTGTTGGCTCTGTCGTTTCCTGCTGTGCCTCTCCATGCTCCAGTCCCGGGACCATGTATTTATGGAGACAGGCAGGCCCTGAGTGGCCAATGAGCACTCTGACTAGGGCGGAGTGGGCCCGGGCTGGCCAGGCCCCAAGGGAAGTGGGACGCGGGACGCGGGACGCGGGCGGGGGGGTGGTGGTGGTGGTGGAAAGAGGATGGAGTCAGCGAGGTGAGCGAGTGCACCAGGGTCGGGTGACCGATGCGCTGCTTCTGGGGCGGGAGAGCCGTGGACTCCACCCCGGAGATAACCCTGAGGTAGGCGCTCGAGCCAAGTTCACCGGGTGCGCGCTGATGCGCCTCCCCGCCCTCCCTTTGCGGGCAGCAGCCTGCAGTGGCTGCAGCCTGGCGCTTGCACAATAGCCATCCTGGGTGGCGAGGTCTCTGAGTGCGGTCCGGGAAGGGTGACGGCTCCTGCCAAGGGCGCGCTGCCTGCTCACCTTCTGGAGAGACAGGCTTCCCCAGCCTGGACTGGACTTCCTTCAGAGGAAAAAAAATGACTTTCTGAGCCTCTGCAGGTGGAGAGGATTCGAAATTCACTAAAATGCATGGAAAGAATGGATTTCACCTTCTATTCTTGGGCAAGAGGACCAATTGAGTTTGTAGAATTTCCTTCCTGGCTGCTTCATTTTTGGTTGTTATAAGGATTAAAGGAATTCTTCACGTAAAGTGCCTACAACCTAGTCTTGTCCATGGTCACCACTCAATAAAAAATGCTGTGGTCATTATCTCCTCAGGTGGTTATGGAATGTGCTGTGAGGGCATAGCTTGCAATGGCTGCCACCTCCCCAACTCCCCTCAGCCCCCTCCCTCATGTGCATTGACATTTCACAAAGCAGAGACACTCACAGGTCAAACCAGGCCCCTCAACCATCCCCACCACCTCTACAAGGTCCATCCTAAGCCCAGCCATACACATGCTCCCAAACACACCTTCACTAGCCCAGAGTACAACTCACCTTCATAATTCAGAAAGGGAAGTTAGAAATTTTTGTTGATTGTGACTCATATTGTCGCGTTGCTGATCCAACATAAAGTTCCCAGCTCCCAGGGAGGAGGTGAAACTGTTTCCTCTCCCAGTTTCCAGTCACCTGAGTGGTTGTTTTGACCTAGGATTAACAAATCCTTCCTTGATAAGTCTCTTGTAAACATTTAGTTTGTTTCTTGAAAACCCTTTGTTCCAACTTGAGTTGGAAAACAATCATTTTAGATTTGTCCTCAGAAGTCAATGACCTTATGTTAATAAAAATAAAAGCCATTGAATATAGAGTTTATGTATAATTATTATATCTATTTATGCATGATAGACTAGATATTACACAGCACATACTAGAGATTTATATAGCTTATGTAATATATACTATATACAATATGATTATGATATAGACAACATTATATATGTGTGTCATATGTTATATATTTTACAAAAGAAAGCTTTGTTATATAGTACACACACACACACACACAAAGCTTTCTGGAATTAGTGAAAAATTAATTTTTCACTAGGCACAGAGCTGGACATATTTACATCCATTTTTGCATTTTTGACTTCGTTCTGATGTCAACAAAGAACAAAAGCAGAAACCCAACCCCATGATGCTTAGAGAGTTAAATAATTTGCTCAATGTCATAGACCTTAGTAGTGGCCTAGGTGGGGTTCACACCCAACATTTTCTAGTTCCAGACTAAGCCGGTAATATAAACAGCATATACATTTTGTCATGTTGTATCATCTTTTCACAAACATATATCTCAGGATATTGAAAATAATCCTTAAATGAGAATATTTCCAAGCAGGCATGGGATCAGAATGACTACCATGGCAGTGTCAGGGGGCAGTGTGACATGTGACATGAATATCTTATGTGTTGAGAGTGGTTAAACAAAAATGCACCCCAGAGAAGGTCCATTTAGGTCTCCACTGTGTGTCCTACTTGTGACTGCACATAGTGGATGCTCAGCGAATGATGACCCGTGACTTTAACTAGGGAGTATTCTTTCCTCTTGCTCTCAGCAGGTGTGCTCAAGAAGAAGGGGAAGCATTTGAAATTTGCCAGGGTCTCCTAGGAGTTTAGTGCTATATTGTTTCCTGTATTCCAAACAGATGCTTAGAAGTGCAGGTAATCATTTCTAACATAACAGCCAATTGGAAAAGTCCTGTTTCTGGGGAACTGGTTTCTCTTGTTGGAGGGAGACCGTCTCTAATAATTTTAATATTGACTTGCAGAGGGAAGTACAACTAGCTCTAGTTCATTGAGGACAATACTTACCCATTCTTGACCAGGTACCATTAAATAAGAAATGACTGTTTTGAGCCCTGTCCCAGGAACTCACCACTCCTCCCTTGGCCCATCCCTCAGTCACTGCATATGGAGCCTCTGTGATTCCCCGGGCAGGGATGCTGTCGGGAATCCCTAATGAGAGATCTCAGAGAGTCTCATAAATGCTGGGACAAGCCCAGGCCCTCTGTCTGGTTCTGGGAACTCTCACCAAATCCTGGATGGGTAATTACACTCCAACCCTCATTGCAAGAACCACAGATGGCAGCATGTGTGCATGTGCACATGTGTGCACACATGTGTGTTGAGGGCTGGGTGGAGGAGTGTGTTGGAGGGCAAGGCTGATTTCCCTGTGCTGAGAAGTACCATGTGTGAAATGGAAATATAGTTTTGTGCTTTGGACTTGGCTAAACTGAGGTGTGAGTTGGAGATCTTCCCTTTGTGGAAACTCGGAGGACTGCCTATGTATCAGCTGAATGGACAGTGTCAGAACCGACCTACAGTGAAGCTCAAACATCCTGGGAATCTCAATAGCAACAAGAGCCACTCTCTCAAGGGTCCTGGGGGAGGGGGGACAATGCACACAGAATTCTTGGCATAACAAAGTGCCTAGAGACTGCTACCTCCTAGTGTTCTGGTTTGCAGGCCTCAGTTTTTCCAAACTACATAGAAGGCAGGCAACTTAGATGCCTCAGTTACTACACTTGGGTTCAACTGAAGAGTTGTTTGGGGAAACTGATCATAGGACAAACACCTGCTGGTGAGTTCAAATCCTACTTTGGCCACTTAGCAGCCAGATGAGCCAGGGAGTCTACTGTCCCTGTGACCTCCTTCCAGAAGCGGCGCTAAGGGGAGCACCCAGTTCCCAGGGCTTTTCTGAGGACGACAAAGTGCTGAGAGACCTTGGTGCAAATGTCAACGTTACTGTGAACTACAGGGCCTGACCTTTCACATCACTAGGGCCTTAATCTCCACAGTATGTCTCCGGGGTTCTCTGCCCAATTAGACAAACCTCAGAATTATAAACATTGTCTCCTTGTGTTTTGTCTCTCCTAGAGCACATGACACAGGGCTGCTTATGTTGGCCAGCACCCAATAAGCAAATAATAGGTAATTGATTATTGATTATTTCCTCATTCCTAAGTGAGAAGGAGAAAGATCAGTGTGAATGTGTCCTTTGTTCTCTGAGGGAACTATTGGTAAACCTTGGAGGACTTGTTTGGGTGTTGTATAGAAAGCAGTCCTATAAGACAAAAATAATAGTTTGGGTCCCAACAACTTGGGTGGAAGCCACACTCCATTGCTCACTAGCCAGGTGGCCTTGGGAAAGTTATTTTATTTCTATTTTTTAGCTCTAAGTATATCTTTATTTAAAAATTCTGTGGTAATGAATGAATGGAAAACCTTGGCTAAAAAAATTCTATTAGTAAGTTGCCATGATAAATGAAGCAAGACTTGGTTACATCTAAATAGTTAAAGGACAAGTTATATACTTTGTGTTCAAAGATTTTAAAAATTCTAGAATATTCTGAGAATGATGGTTCAAAGCATTTACATTTTTTGATTAATTGTTTTTTTAAAAAGTTTATTTGTTCTTTTTAGCTATACATGACAGTAGAGTGTATTTTGACATATGATATGTACATAGAATATAACTTCCCATCCTTGCAGTACATGATGTGGAGTTATACTGGTCATGTATTCATATGTGAACATAAGAAAGTCATGTCCAATTCATTCTGCTGTCTTCCCTATTTCCATCCCCCTCCCTTTCCTTCATTCTCTTTTCTCTAATTCAATAAACTTCTATTCCCCCACACACTTATTGTGAGACAGCATCCACGTACCTCAGAGAAAATTTGGTCTTTTTTTTTTTAGGATTGGCTATTTCACTTAGCTTGATAGTCTCATTTCATCCATTTATCAGAAAATGCCATACTTTCTTCTTTATGGCTGAGTAATATTTCATTATATATATTTATATTACATTTTTTATTCATTCATCTGTTGAAGGGCACCTAGGTTGGTTCCATAGCTTAGACATTGTGAATTAAGCTGCTCTGAACATTGATGTGACTGAGTCACTGTAGTATACTGATTTTAAGTATTTTGAATATATATATATATATATATATATATATATATATATATATATATATATATATATATATATCCTATATATAGGATAACTGTTTCAGTGGTGATTGCACTGTAAGTTTTTCTGAGGAATCTTCTACGGCTTTCCAGAGTGGTTGCACAATTTGCAGTCCTTGGGCAAATGAAGTAGCTTCTCTGAGCCCAGTTTTCTCATTGGCAAATTGAAGGTTATTATACTCATGTCTCTGGAAGGCAAAGATGAATGTTTAAAATATCAAACTGAAACACCAAGTGCTTGCTTGGTTTATTTCTGAGCAGCCTTCAGTTGTATTGGTGAATTAAATTTGTAATTCAAATATAATGGAAAAAAGTATCTGACATCTCCCAACACATATCAACATGGGAAGAACTTTGGAACAGATTCACCATTAAAAGAACAGCTCCAAGAGAACAAACAACCCAATCAACAAATGGGCCAAGGACCTGAACAGACACTTCTCAGAGGAGGACATACAATCAATCAACAAGTACATGAAAAAATGCTCACCATCTCTAGCAGTCAGAGAAATGCAAATCAAAACCACCCTAAGATATCATCTCACTCCAGTTAGATTGGCAGCCATTATGAAGTCAAACA